TAAAAAAAAAAAAGGGGGGGGAATGAGCAATAAGTTTTCCATTTTTAATCCATTCTGAAAGTAGAAGAATGAACAATGGATCAAATTAATGTGTACTTTACTTTTATTAAGAGTGAAACATCAAAGACATCTGACATAACATTTCCATCTTAAGGGAAAGAATTACAATGTATATCACAAGCTGGTATGCAAGTAGAATATTACAAAGACTTAAAAGTGGAAAGGAATTGTCACATATTTTATAAACTGGTATTTTTAAGTTTTTTCCCCTTCAATTTGAAAAAAAATGTATCTTCAGCAGGTTTTAATTGAAATGATCCTTCAGCTGTGCTATACCAAAGCCCTTTAAAACTTAATCATCTCTGCTACATTTGGTACTGTTATTAGTATCATATTTATATATATTTACTTTTCTAAAAGCCAGTTGTTTTTTGTTTTATTTTTACATTAGCCTCTCAAGACACATATCAAAACTTTCCAACAAAAACCAAAATTAAAATTAAAGAGAAGCAACAATTATAGAAGTGGAAAAGGACATACAGAAGTGTTCAGAAAGAAAACTGAGACATCGGCCAAGTATTTGGACTAAAAATTTGAAAGGGAATATACTAAGGTATGATGTATTTTACCTGACTAACTGGGAAAACAAGTTGAATAAAGAGGTGGCTGTTGTAACACAATTACAAATGAACACAATAAGCAAATAGGAATAAGGTGAAGGAAAATATATATATGGAACTTCCAGCTAGACCTAAACTTGTTGGCAAGGTTTCTACTTAAGTACTTTTAAAATAAGGAATTGTGCTTATTGTATGTAGTTCTATGGAACAGTGAAATAAGAGAGGGAAAATCATTATTTTCAATGCTTTAGGATTCTTTCATGAAATCACACAAATACTGTATGAAGTGTTGCCAATTTTATGGCAATACTTCAATTAACTATTTAATCAAAGTGGAATCCAGTTTTGGGCATACAGATGTTAGTGAAGCAAGGTGAAAGTATGTTTTAAATAATGTGGTTTTGCCCTAGAATTGAGGCCACCTGTGAGAAAATAAGAATTGCTCACATATAGGATGCTGTGGTGGTGCACAGAAATTCTTGCAGCATGTAGGCCTAGCCATGATCTTGAGAAGGTTAATAATAAATCAAAGAATGATAATGGAGTTATAAATAAAAAATAATCTGGCAGAAACTTGATGTCAAAAGGGGCTTATGGACTGTAAATTTGTTAATTATTGGTAGATTGCAGGATTGCTTAAGGATACAGAATAAAATAGTATCCTGTGTCTTTAAAGACTACAGTATTTAAATTAATGGCATTTTAGCCAATGAGAATATACCTGATACAATGAGAGTTGGTCAATGGCCAACAGGCTAAAGAATGAAGATGGCTGTTGTGTTTGAACCAGGAGAATTTACATGCCCAAAGAGATGGAAAGTCAAAGAAAAAGTTTGGGAAAGGTGGAAATAGATGAATGGAATGAGACTGAGTAAATGAGACTTCAGTAGTATTTAGAAGAAGCAATATTTGTAGGGCATAAAAAAGTAAGGACAAAGTGTCTGTAAGGTACAAGAACTTATGTCACAAGGTGTTTAAGGAGGAACAATGGCAGTGGCTCTACTAAAGGTATTAGTATTGTGGAACAATGCTTAAAGGTGGAAGAATGGTAAGGCTAGCTATAGGTGTTATGGAAACAAAAAAATGAGAGCATCATTTCATCTGTGAGTCACCTGGAGATTTTAGAAAGGCCTCTATAGTTTATATCTAAGCCTGAAAAAAGTTAGTCAACTACATCAAGGCTGTTGTGTAATTATATACATGTGGCCTATTTCTCCCAAACAGCAGCTGAGGAAGAAAACCTGTGGCTGAATTGTACTCCTTCAGACAACCCTTTCACAGATGGAGGGCCACTAAGTGGAAGGGGGAGAGCAGAGCCAAGAAATTCCTGTGCATAGCAGCAGGTCAAGAAGGGTAGGTAGGCTACAGCCCTGGTCCCCTCCTTGTCTTTAGTCAGGGATTAGTCAATTTAATCCTTATGAAGGCACATTTCAGCATGCCACCCCCTACCTGCCGTCTGTAGTGGTCCCATCCAGGTGCAGATTTATACTACCTCCACTGCTGTCTGCAGGAAACAGGCCTACCTGTGGTGGACGTGGATGCGAGCAAAGGTTGCTTTCCTACCCCCTGAGCACGTCCTGCTGGCCTCTCCTGCGGACGCGGTTGGCGGCGGCGGCGGCGGGCGCTATGCCTCCTTCCAGGCTCCCCAAGGCAGAGTAGCGGGTGCTATCTGTGCCCTCCGCCGGACGACCCTGCCGCTGCTGCCCAGCGGATCCGTGCGCCCAGAGCGCCACGCAGCCCAGCCAAAGAAAATACGGCTGCAGGCAAAGCGCCCGCCGTCTCCCCATCGCCGACGGCAGGAAATCCTGAGGTGTCACCACGAGCCACGGAGTCCGACTTGCTCCTGGGGGAGCGCCCGGTGCTGCTGCTGCTTGTTCGCTGCCCGCGTCGGCGAGGCGAGCGTCACCCCTGCTGCTGGCCCTCGCCCTCTCAGTGAGACGCCTTGCGGGTCGCGGCGGTCAAGGGGACTGCTACTCGCCTTCCACGGTGCATCCTCCTCCCTTCCCCCTCTTTCCTCCTGAGCAACTGGAAGGCGCCAAATTTCACCAAAAAACTTGGTCAGAGCAACGAGTGAGGCTTCCAGTTCTTTCGGGGGACCGAGGAAAAAAGGAAAAAGGAGGAGGGCGGGAAGCGTTTCCTGAACCAGTCTTTTTACACTGACTGAAAAGAATCCTCAGTGAGCCAAAATTACTCTTTGCAAAGAAAAAGAGGATTCTCTGGCTCAGAAATAAAACATAAAGTTACTAATAACGGCTAAGGAGAGTGGATTCAAGCCGGCTTCAACCGGACGGGAGTTTTCCCCCCTAAACCCAGGGACAGAAAAATGCAGGAACTCCTGCTACGCCGCTGCCGCTCGAGTAACAAGAAAAGGCGGCGATCCGGTGCACGGAAAGAAGAATGAGGGGAGGAGGAAAGCGCGGGTCGGAGAGGGAGGAAGGAAAGGGCAAGGGGGAGGCGATTGCCTGCCTGTCAGTGGGGAGCAGTAGCGGCGCGCCAAACACGTGGGAAAGGAGCCCACTGGAGGCGGGAGAGAAGCTGCGCCAAGGGGGCGCCGAGAGGCAAGTGGGGGCGGAGGATGGGAGAGGAAAGCCCGCGCGGCGCTGGTAAAAGGATGGAGGAGGAGGAAAGTTTTGGAAACCGGGGTGAGAGAAGAAGTTGAGGCCGGGAATTTGGAAGGGGGCGCTGCTGGAAAAGACTGGCGGCGGCGGAGGAGAAGGTGGGCGTCAGTCCGTCCGTCCGTCCGTCCGTCCCAGGAGCACCGCATCGTCGTGCCTTCTCCGATGGCTCTTGGCATCCTCTTTGCACCTAACAAAGGAGGTAGAAGGAGTTAAAAGGACGCTTTCACCCGTTGTCACCGCTTCCCAACTCAATTATTTTAGACCCTCAGATAGCAACTACCATAAAAACAAAAAATCGAGTTATCCTCTGGATTTGCTTAATTGCCAGTAAAACTTTGTGTTGCCTTTCACTAGGTGAAGTTTGAAAGAAATATATTTAGGCTACACAAGTAGCTTGTGATCGTTCGTCAGCGTCTGCGAGTCTCCCTGACATGCTCAAGGGGATTTCTTAGCAATTCTTCAGTAACCTGACAGGCGCAAGACAACATCCCTTGTAAAAGGAACCATATGGAGCTTGAATCCAATCCATAGCCACTGATGTCAATGAGTGCGCTCAATTTAGTCAGCTTTGATCAGTGAAGCTGGCAGCTGCAGACACAGAAACAAGGGGGGATTTCTTTTTTTTTTTTTTTTTTCAGTGCTTCAGAAATATCCATGTCCAGAACTCCATTGCTGGCAAAATTATCTTGGATGTTGAACAGTAAGTCCTTGAAAAAGAAGGGCATGACAATTCTGGCCACTCCCTTTTGCCCAACTTAAACTTCAGGAAAGCGGGGGGGGGGGGGTTTTTTTTTAAAAAAAA